CTTGGCAATCTATGCTGCATATACAGGGGTGGCCAAAAAAAGAGACACTTGACTCCACATTTCAGACAGCATTAATCACACTTTGCTAAAATCAAATCGACTGCCCCCAACTCAGTATTGAAGAGCACATTCTAATCTATCTAAACCTTACATGACAGCCTTCTACACCGACGACATCAGAAGATTTTCCCACGGAAACATGGTTCACGGTACGAGCTCAACGAGGTCGTCGAGGTACCATAGACCATTACGACGTCCCTGAAACGCTGGTCAAAAGCGGTTTGCATAGTCACAGCTAATGTCTCTGGGAAGCTATTCAACAGTTAATCCATTGAAGAAATTATGTAGCAGCTTCAGGCCGGAGCGATTACGGTAAGCCTCGTTGAGCTCGACGGTGGCGGCAGATGACGTCATATTCTGAAGACGGCGGGGGCAGTGAAGGAGGGCCTGCTTCTGTTTACGGGGGAACACCTAAGGAATATTCGCCGTAAAACTTTCATTAACATCGGCACCCTGTGCGACGAAAAGTTCGATGATGTGCGCCATGGGCAAAGTGTCTCTTTTTTTGGCCACCCCTGTATATTGACAGCTTCCTTATACAAGTACCTTGTCGAACAGTTGGTCCATCGATTAAAGTGCAGTTAAAATAGAAATAGGTAAAAAGCACATTCCAGGAAAGCTCAGAAGTGCTCTGACTCGCTAAAAGTGCAATTTTGCTCACCAGCACAGGAAAAAAATGGAAGCCTTTCATCAACGTCGTTGCAGTAGCTGATAGAAAATACCAATGAACAGTTTGAGAGCTGGGAGCCAAACCGTAAAGTGGGAGTTTAGTCATCTCTTGATTGTGCACATTATATCAAATGCATTGGTATCACCTGTTTCCCTTGACAGGCTCATGTTTGCTGATGGAATTCTTCGCTTCTGAAGTAGCCCTTGCTGCAGATTAACCTACACTTGAAGGAGTTGATTACTTTCAAAGGACGAAATCACTCAAACCAAAGTGACAGTATACATTTTTCTGCTCTAGAACAACAGAAATCGTTCATTTCTGCAGCGACAAAAGAGGTAGAGAATAATTAACATATTGCTGACCTGACCCGCAGTGGTGATTACTATTACATCGTGCGATGTGCATTCAACCAACCTTTTCATGGCCACTGATTCTAGAGTTGCCGCTGAATTTTGTTAATCTTCGCCATTCAACGAAGAGCCTGGTGTTGAAACAGACACTTGCCACAGAATAAGCAAGAGCAGTTCCGCCAGTATATATACTGTTCTTAAATAGAATCTGGTGATCGTGTCCCTTCGCAAGAGAGCGTTTACGTATCTTACGTAGGTTTTGCAAAGTCGTTGGATAGCAAGAGCTGACTAGGCTTCATGTTTAGTTTTCATCTGACTTATGTGCTAAGCTCTTTGTTTCGCTTCGAACACGCCTGCGCGGCTTCCGCGCTACCAGATCACATCGTGAGCCCTATGCCGGCCATTAGATCGTTATGCAAAGGAGCAAATGACTTGAATTTGTTCTATAAGGGCTCACTTGTCTACTACAACTTAGGGAAAGTGAAGATCGGCTTCCATACAGCTGATGTTACTCTGTTTTGTTAGTTAGGAGTATCTAGAGGTGCGTGTTGATAAATGTGTCTCGCGACCCATATTTGATCGCAATGCACACTCCGAGAAAGTACTTAGTGCAGAAGCCCCACGTCTCTACGGTGGGAAGTACCGGTAGTGGATGTTCAATAGCTCTCATAACAACAAGCGCCACGTTCCTGCGTAGGGGTAAAACAATGGACCACAAATCTCTGTAAGATCGTTGGTAACATTACCCAGTCACACTGATTCAATTCGCATTAGATGTGAGGTCGATTACTTGTTGTACAGGCAATATGGCACTCCTATCTGTGCGTGAAAGCGGCAAATGCTACACATATTGCACCACTATCATGATCCACACATTTCTTCGAGACCAAATCTACAATATGTATGTTGTAAACATGCAATCAAATATATGTAGTCATCACCCTAACTAACCGTGTCATACTTCTTCAGGAGGCAAAGCGCTGAATATCGATTGATCGTAAGGAACATGTTTCCGATCATGTGGGTGAGAAACGTGGTTCCACTGACTATTATAACAAATGAAACAAGTGTCTTGAATTCCGGACCCAGACCAAGTTGACGATTCAGTCGGTTGAAGCAGCTTGCGAATATGGCGAATAGATCAGCGACTCCTAAACAGAGAAAGACGGTGCCACACCATATGTTTTCCTAATGATGTCGCTTTACTTTTACTTTGATCTCTAGGATTTTGAGGAATTTTCGCCTCCAGTCTTCTAATGACACTCGCAATATTCGCTCATTCCGCTGCCATTCAATAGTCAAGTGGAACAGATTTTCCGTCAATGCCTCAAGGCATATGCTTGTCACAAAGATCCGACGCTTCTATCGGTAGCCCTTTTCAGATAAAGTGTGCGCTCAGCGCTCGGTAAAGGGAGGGGGTGCTTTCGCATGGATGTCATTGGCAACAACACGGTCTGATTGTTATTAGTCCCAGTGTCAGGGTTGTGTATTGAGAGAGATTGTTGAGCTTCAAAATTAGGCGCTCAAACAGCGAATACTTCTTGATCGACCCAATATTTGCATCGACTTCTTCGACTTTGTTTTAAACGTTTGACTTTTTTCGCCGACTCTCTCAAATGGGCCTAAGAAGCAATTGTCGTTTTCTGTAGAAATGGATCCATTACCCGTATTGCCACAACTTCACTAGAAATAAAGAGGTCAAGCGCTGTAGTGGAAATAACGTTCTAGATTAGAATGGTGTTCATTAGCCTTTAATTAATACCAGATTGGTCCCCCGGCAAGCGCCGGAACCTCCCTACCTTGCGTAAGCTTTCCCTTCTCCCTCCTCTCCTTACTCTCCCCTCGTTCCCCTCTGCTCGCCGGCTACCACAGCATCACCTTGTCGAATGACCGAAAGTGTGCTAAGTATATAGCCGTTGGGGATGCTATCACAATCATGCCATTGCAAAACACTAATAGCTAAAGTCCTGTGAGCTACATGATTCTGTTAGCGGTTTGTTTATCCCATGAGCTTCCTTCTCACTCACTTCATTTTGCGGACGGACACACATACACCGACACACAAAGTTAGCGCATTATAAAATAGAAGGATATTACCTTGTGGATAACCCCACATCAGAAATGAGCATTGAATCAAAGGTGTTCCATTTGTTACCTGTTGCGACAAATATCACGTAAAACGCAGTTTTCAAGACCTTCACTCTGGACGTTACAATGATGAATAAAACAAAAGCGTAAGAGCATACAAGCACGCCTTCGATCACAGTGTGTAACACGTTATGCTCCATCTTTTCTCTCCACTAAAAAAAAGCTTAGTGAGCCGCACACGACACAAAGTAGTGACACAAATCATTGCTGCTTAATTCACTGTCTCCTTGTTGTTAAGCGCAACTGTAAACGGTTAACTCCTCCACTAGAAATACCTAATTTGGAAGACTGCGGAAAATATCTGCAAAAGATAGAGTGGGAAAAGATTATAATGAGAAACCAATAACAGAGTTATTGCGGTACGCCAGAAAGAGAACGATCTACTCCAACCTTAAAAGGACTAATTGTAAGTGATGACTACACTGGCTACTACACAACAGTTTCCGCTTTCAGACGATGTAGTGAAACGTGCTCAGCAGGAGAGAATTCTGGCAAATAATTGCATTTGTTTGAAGCACATGATGGCATAAGTCTGCTGCGGTAAACTCGTTCAAGGGGGGGGGCGCTCCCCTCCCTGCTATCTTATCCGAGTACTAGAGAGCGCTCCTTTGGCTTCAACACTATGGATCAGATAATAGGTAAACGACTCATTCTAAGTGCACATTTGATGAAACCGGTGTATGCCCTACACATATCGCTCACATCCTGCTCACATCCTAGGCAATTTATGCCAGGTCGTTTCTTAGACCACCTGAGGCCGAAATCTGAAGCACCCCAGGAGTACTTCCACACTACACTGGTCCTTATCAAAATATCAAAATTAACGTTGAACGAATCGATTACGTGTCATTAATATTCTTGTCTTTATCCTTAGTTTTGAAAAGTCCAATGGAGTGCCCCCAAACTGGAGTTTCACCGTCTGCTGCTTCATTGAGAAGCGGGTGACTACAAAAGTAACAAAGTCAATTGTTAAGTGTATAGAGCCTAGCACGTCAGCAGAAACTAAACCTACAGTTTCATAATTGACAAAACAGGCTCACTATCCTCAAGACAGCAGTCTCCATGAATAGTTGCAATCAGCATTTTCAGAATGCATCGCGACTTATCGTTTCAGTTAGTCATTTCAGATATGTTTGAAACTTTGTTTATATCTAGCCCTCCTATGTTATGCCACAACTCGATTTGTGAAGCAATTAGTACTGATTTATTTGCTGAAGAAGGAAAACATTTGCCTACACATCATACAAGACTAATGCGCTATTGGTGAAGTTAAGCAGCAATTTTTTCACAGAAAAAAAAGCTAGATGTCACATTTTAAGAACTATTAGGTACCGGATATCTTAGTGTCGTTTTTTCACCACGAGTTTCGGACCACCAATATTTTAATTCAGAATCCGGGGAGTGAAACAGCATATTCATCGAATGACTCATTAGCACTTTCCCATTTACCAGTATGAGTGGAAACCTCGTACGATTAAAGCTAGGAATTTTTTGAGTCGAAAAAGAGAGGTAGGTCGGTTTTGACATCATCTGACAAATCATCCCTCTCACTTGCTAAAAAGTTAGGCCTGGACAAAAGAAGTATACATTTAGTTAGAGTAGGGTCTGCACTGTATGGTGGAAAAGTTATAACTTACCAGCTCAACTGGACAATTTTTCCCAGTCTTTTTTGCCACAAAACGCACCTTTTTAGAGCACACGTGAGCACATTTATTAGAATTTCTTGTGCAATCAACTTCGTTAAAGCGTTTGTGCATCATCGATCAGTCACTGCTAAGGTGTCCTACCATTTCAGCACAAGACTGGTGCAGCCCCGTCTCGACTGATTTAACTAGGGCCACCTTTTTGACGACGATTGCGGGCATCACTTCAAAGACTTCACTGTCTTTTGAGAAAACTGTGAAAACCGATGAGCATTTTAAATGGTAGTATTCCCTCCAACAAATGCAATGTTGGTTTGGTGGGCGGAAGTTGTAGCTCTCAGCAAGAATTTTGAAGCATTTGGTACACACATGCGAATTTGCACACTGGACCCAGGAATTTTCAAAAACTATAAAAAAATAAGCAACATATTTCGCAGTATTAATGAGCAAAAAGGACTTCTGAGATATTGATTTTCCATAGTAATCGGCCCCAAAACTTCCTGAACTCAGAAAAGCGACACTAAGATATCCGGTACCTAATACTTAGTTTATACTTTTGACTGTGAGCTAGGAGCACATCAATTCATACTGAGCAAGGACTGTGATCAAAGCTTTGATGGGTTTTCTTTGGGCAACAAGTGGATCCATACAAAGGGCACATGGGAGGCGAAACATTAGCTGCGGTGTAACGCCTTAGCCACTTATCCTACAAGAAGCCAAATCAACAAATGGGGATTTGGATTTTCTCACTATAGTTCTGACCAAGTTCCTAGATAAAACTGGTGTACAGGGGCGCTTCATAGTGATGACTGAGCTGCGGAATGAACTGAAAGTGGAAAGGAAAGCAAGAGAAATTTGGAACGCTAAAATTAAGGCCTTAACCTTCAGTAAGTCGGATGTGGTACGATGGCGAGACAGGGCGATCAAAGAAGACAAAACACGCGAGAGATCACGCCGTTCGAGAGAGCACGCTGATCTCTACATCAATCGAGGTGGGTGGGAAGCGTTGCAACGGGGTCGATGGTTGCAGGCCCGTAAGGATTAGCGCCCTAACCGCGCAATTTTTGCGACGAAGCTGGAGTGATCTAGGTAGGTACGGACCTTACAATTTCCCTCGCGGTATCCTTCCCACATGTCGGGCCTGGAATTGCCTCCAAAGCAAAGATTTGGCTTATTCGTTTGACAGGACAAAACGCTAGACGCATGACACGAAAGCCTCTGACAAAATTGACAATCGGTGAAGCTTTGGGTTTCACAAACTCTTGAGTTTCAAGAAATACTGCATGCGTGGAAACAGTATAAATCTCTTTACTTCATTCGAGCCGGAAAATGATTTAATGACCGACTCTTCTGTGCATTATGAGTTCTTCTACACAAACTTCTACTGGTATCCATATAGGTGACCTTTACGCTTTCCTCCTTGTCGAAATAATTGAGTGAGATTCAAATTTTTGGGCATTTTAAAAAGAAAGTAAGCGTAAGGAAGAGGACGGCGCGCTCGCAAAATCCGCTGCTGTCCCACGCGGCAAAAATGCCAAAACACGGAATGTCGTCAACGTGTTAAATCGGCTTAGTAAAGTGACTAAAAACTGTAGATGAAAAGGAAGGAAGGATATGCCGATGAAGAGGATCACTTCTTTGAGTGGAGTAGGGAGTAAGAATCAAGTCGGATGTAGTTTAAAACACTTCAAAAAGTAAGCTACCTTTATGCTCCGGCAGAAAAACTCGAGCAGAAGGAACATGGTCCCTGATATCAACGTTGTGATGAGTGCCTGGACGTAAGTGATACAACATCTCGTGTCTCCTTTTGTGCCAGACTTGATGTCTACGGCGACACTTGCCTGCAGAAACGAGTGAGCTGCGTCTCATTGGCTCTGATATGGTTTTCAATTTTGCACTCTCCACATCGACGCCTTTGTGTTCGCTGATTTCATAGCATTAATCTGAATTGTGACAGCAAAAATCGATATTTCCGTGATGTTTATGAGCTAGTGTTAATCCCCAATTATATCAATTCATTATTGGTTTTCATACTGCACAAAGAATACGACCGATTAACTTTTTTGTACCTCTTACTTATTCATTTTAAAAATGCAAAATAGAGCTGCCGATGAGAAGAGCAGCGTTATTGCTACTCCATATCTATTCCAGCGTTGAAATCTAGC